GCGCTTTGCCTCTCATATTACGCATACGCCACATAGTACGGTCCCTTGGTTGGCATGGGCGTGTGGTGGGCGCGGCTGCTCGGCAACGCACAAAAACTTTCGCACATTTCAATGGCAATAAAAGTGATTTAATAATGCTGCGTTAAAGCCCCAAACGACAGCAGCGCCAGCAATAACAGCAACAGCAAAAAACGTCTAACAAAAAAGTAAGAAACAGAATGAAACAGTTTGACGATCAAACCGCAGCTCAGATACCCTAGCAAAGCGAAGGCATTTCAACAATAGCTGATAAACTTCACTCGAAGATAGACTAAGCCGGATAGGTAGTTCTCGTTTATCTATGTGAGTTGAATTTGCGCCAAATTCAAAAAGTCCGAATTATGGCATTGACCAACACTGAATTCTAAAACAGTTTTGAAGTGTTCATTTTAGTCTAAACTATAATGCGAATCTTAGAGAAAACTTCTAGATTATTGTGCTATTCTCACTAAGAAATATCTCAGAATCAAAACGTTATCCAACACTTAATGCTACGATAGCTCTTCAGAATGATGTCACTAGCCAACACTAGGTCTTTAGATCAACCAATCAATTCACAGAATATATTTGGATATTTTAGCGTTAACCAGCACTAAATCCTCAGAGACAATTTATATCGTTACCCAACACTCAATTCTAGCATAATGTATCTAAACTAAAGCGTTAATCAACAGTCAATGCTTCAATGCAATTTAATTCTCCTACATGATTTCATGATTATAGCGTTAGTCAACACTTCTCCGAGAACATCTCGATATTAAAGCGTTAATCAATACTCAATTTCCACATAGCAATTTTAGCGCTAGCCAAAACTCAATTCATACATAACATAACTAAATTACAGCGTTAACCAGCACTTAATAGTCAAAAGAAATTTACAGTTTCTAGCGCTAACCAACACTTAAGTTTTATATAACACTCTGGGAATACAAAACTTAGATGATTTTTTGAAATCCTTGCGTTAGCCAACACTCAACTCTTGCCGAACATTTCCAGCCTATGGCATTTTCCAACACTCACTTCCTCGACTGCCACAGCCGCCGTCCGGCTCCAGCTTGTGGTTGGCTCGCGTTGTGCAGTGTATTAAGCGCAGTGCCGAATCAATTTGATTTGTCGCCGGGTATGCTCTGCCCTGAGCCTAGGCGCCTGGCCACGCCCATTGCGTGTGATTAACTGCGCGTTTAATGTGCATGCCCGGCCATAAAACAAATCGCATGCAATCGTCCCCTTGTCCAACGTTCCTCTCCACAGTCTCACACCCGCACACCCACACACACACACACACACACACACACACACACACACGCAATTCTCCGATACTTCTACAATTCTCATTCTCTTTCAGCTGCTCCCATTTCAGCTGCTGCTGCAGCTGCTTTGAAATGTAAATACAGCTCATTAGATCAATGCGTAGCCATTCATTTGCAAGGATTCTAAGCACTCTAGCCTTGACCAAAGACACATGACCCCACAAGCCGTAGCCCCAGCCTAGACCTTCCCCCTCCCATACACACACACACATACGCGCGTAGAGTGGAAGCGCCACCCGAGCCTATGTCCGATAAGTTTTCTAGTTTTTCACTCTGGACACAGCTCAAGTGTCATAGATTTTCGATAGCTTCAAGAGATAAAGAGAGAGACAGAGAGAGAGAGAGAGTGAGAGCGAGAGAAAGGCTGGAGAGTTCGTATCGAAAGCATCTGCTGCCCTCTGTGTTCATTAGGGTGGCTCTTTTAGAGCCGGGTTTCTTAATTATTTCTTTCGAACTGTCGTTTTCTATCGTCTATCGATATTACGTAAAATTGATGTGTGATATTTATAGAAGATATATATTGTATTATATTATATTTTATATATTTTTTTACTGATATATACAAAATTCATTAATTTGTCTTATAAATTAAAAAACTTATTGTTATCGATTTCAGTTTTAGTTTCGATATTTAGAAAAAAATCGTTTATTAAGCGAGGTTTTAGCTAATATTTTGCAAGTTGACTCAGTCGATAAAGCTTATCGTTATACTTTAATAAACGATACATTAAATTAAATAGCTATCGATATGTGTATGCGAATTGTCTTATCGTCATCGATAGGTACATGCAAATTCTCCGATAATAAGCAGCATATAATGAATTGCAAATTCTGGTACAAATGTATTTAAAAAAAATCGAATCGATATCAAAATCGATATCGATATATACTTTTTATATAAATATTTGGTCACACTGTAGCCTAGTCATGTCGGCAATCAGTCATTCAATCAATCAATCTCTTCACCTCTAGCCAACATGAGTTTTCCTTCAATTTTCTTGGCATTTCTCTTGGGCGCTCGCTGCTTTTGCCCCACTGTGCGGACGGTCAAGCTTTAATTAACTTTAGTGCTTCATTTTCTTGAAGCAGAGTCACGCCTTTTTTGGTCAGTCGCCCCTTTCTTTGTGTGTGTGTGTGTGTTTGGGTTTGCTTGCCGTTGGGTTTATTATTTTCACTTAATTTGTGCTTCATTTAATTTTTTTTTGCTCGCTCGTTTTTTGTTTGTTGTTGTTGAGCCCAACAATAATTTTTGTATACATTTTTTTGTTGTTTTCGTTTTGGGTCGTCTATGAATTTGACGTGTCTCGACTGTCCCAGAAAGTCAAATGCCTCATCATCTCAGCTCAACAGAAAAAAGAGCGAACAAGAAGAAGAGAAAAATCTTCATCATTTCTTTTTTTTTTTTTTTTTTTTTTTGGCTTTTCATTTCGCTTTTCTCTCTCATTTTTTTTTTTTTGCTTTTGCTATTTGTTATTTATTTTTATACAAATTTGTTAGTCTGCTCCTCCTGCGGAAAGAAATGAAGCCACAGCCAGCTGTTGTTGTTGTTGTTGTTGTTTATGTTCAAATTAACTTGGCCCACAAAAATGTTGTAGAAAGGCACAGCCCGACGAGGCCAGACCAGGTCCGGGCCAGGCCAGGCCGGGCCGGGCCGGGCCGGGCCACAATGACAGTGCAGGTAGCAAAAGGTATTGAGGGAGAGGCCCATCCGCCGGATAGCCTCGTCGCAGGCGCAGGAAGCCAGAGTGCGAGTGGATGCAGGGGAGTGGGGAGGGGAGTCGGTGCTCGGCTGAATTGGGGCTAAAGGTTGCCCCGTTGTCGTTTCCTGACTGAGCTCGTCCCGGACACAAAGCGACAAAGAAATGTTTCGCATGCTGCACAATGGCAAATAATTCATAACTTGGTTCAAAACTTTGATTTAGCTGCAGTTAATACACAGTCTATCTCACCAAGCTAGCCCCTCCTCCCCCTCTCCACCTTCCCGCTCGCTCACTCGATATGAAGTGAGTGCGTGTGTGTGTGTGTGTGTGTGTGTGTGTGTGTTGGCAACTGTTGGCCATACGTTGGCCTGCATAAATTTTGCTGGCAGTTGGCCCTACCCCGCTCTACCCTGCCCTCCCCTGCCCTGCCGACTCCTGCTCAGCCCGGAGTCCTGCTGACAGTCGCAGCCACACATTTTGCTAGCAGATAAATTACGCTCGAAGCATCAGGCGTATGGAAGCGGAAGAGCCAACAGCTCGGACCGAAGATGAAGCGGAGAGCAGAAGATGAAGAGAGAGAGAGAGAGAGGGACGAGGGGGTCGAGACTGGGGCAACAGTGCATAAAGTACAGCATCCTAAGGTTTATAGACTGCAGACTGGACCACGCGCTGACGACTGTCAAGCGGGTCTCTCTGTATGCATATTTTTCTTTAACTGTAAACGCAGACAACATACACACCAGCACACACGCACACACACACACACACACATACACACACACACACACAGCAGCCTGGCAGGCGACACAAGTGACAAAATGATTTTGGTCACAACTGAAAATTTTTATGGGCTGCATTTGAATGCCAAAAAGCACAATAATTAAAACTATCGATAATAAACTAGAATGTTGTCGATATTTGTCAATCGATATTTTTCAATCACTATCCTGTAGTAATTTCTTAATTTGAAATTAAAAATTAGATGGTAAAGCATGATGGGTACAATTATCGATATTTAATATGAATTTTATCGATATTTAACTGCTCTGCAGAGCAACAGCACTTTTTTTTTTATCATTTTTATCTTCTTTATCTAGCTAAGATTTCTCAAGATTTGCAACATGAGGCTTAACACAATATTAAATATTTATTTTTTAGTTTTTAATATGCCTGTAAGGCCAAGGAAAAAACGTAAAAGAATCTTCCGAAATTTTACCAAATTTGTAGGCTTATCTCGTATTATCCTCACAGAGTCTGAAGCATCAACTTTTGTCGCCTGCTGAGCTGCCAAAAGATGCCAGTTTACATTTGCTCTACTCTGCATTTCCTTGTATCTCTCGTTCTCACTCTCTCTCCCTCTCACTCTCTCTCTCTCTCTCTTTCTGTCTGTCTTTTGGCTGCCTTTGAACATATCTGCGCTCAGTTCTTGGCAATAAATTTTTAACAAACATTTAACTTGCATTTTATTAGTCCCCAGTCAGCGGAGCAGAAGAGTTACTAGCTGTCAGACAGAGCGAGAGAGAAAGAGAGATGGAGAGAGAGGGCCGCTATTGCCGTCTCTATCTGCTCGGTCTGTCTCGCTGTCTGTCTGGCCGTCTTTCGGTTTCCTTTTGGTACGAAGTCATCATAATGACAATTTCTTGACTGTTTTCTCTGCTTTTTTTTTTTTTTTTTTTTTTTGGGTCGCATTAGCCGTGTTCCACTTTCGTCTTGGTTTCATTTCACTTTGTTTCGCTGAAACTGGAACGGGAACTGGAACTGGAACTGGTGCAGTTGCTCAGTGGCCGTCGATTCGGCCAGACAGTCGTAGACTTTTCTTTACTCTCGGTTTGATTTGAGTTCTTGATTCGTTCCGTTGGCAAATTCTAATGAGGAATTATTGAAAAATGAAAATCGAAAACAAATCAAATCAAATATACTAAAAAACAAATTCCCAAACACGCATTTTCAGTTAAACAAATGTGTGAGCAGCAATCAATCAAAAACTTGTAAAGACCAACAACAATAAAAACCAAACAAAAATACAACAACGTATACCACAAACAAACCGAAAAAAAAAATACCGCAAAACTAGTGCAATATAAAAATACCAACAATGAGAAAAAGCTAATAAAAAAGAACGAAAAATAATACGAATTAAAAAAAAGTCAGCAAAGCAACAGTAAAAATAAAAAAAACAACAACAACCAATAATCGATAACAGTTAATCGCAACTTGTGAACGGCTAATCGATAACTTATCGATAGCAATCAGCATAGACAGACAGACCCATACACGTACACACGTACACACACACAGACGCAGGCCAGAGATGGACTCGCTGGAGCGTCTAATGCGCGCCGCCCCACTGCCCCGCATGCTGACCAGCGGGGTGGTGGCAACGGCCGCCGCTGCCGCTGCCAGCGCCGCTGCTGGCGTCAAGGGCGTCGTCGGCATCGCCGGCCAGCAGCAGCAGCAGCAGCAGCGCGCCCTGGTCCATGCCTCGCTGGCCGCAGCCACAGTGGGACGCAAGGGACGCCATCTGACCGGGACATTTTGCCTGACCGGCGATACCATGGAGGGCATCATACAGTGTTTGGTATTTCTCAAAGCATTCTCGGTAAGTGGAAAGCAGAGAAGCAGCGAGGGAGTGAAAGAAAGAAGGAAACAAAAAGAGATAGAGTGAGATAGAGTAACAGAGAGACAGAAAGAGAGAGAGAGAGAGAGAGAGAGAGAGAGAGAGAGATGGTGTGAGTCTGGGCTTCAATCTTAATCTGTGTCTCATATTTCGTCCTGCAGAAAATTCAATTTAGTTTTTGGTTTGCGCTTGACTAAGTTTTTTTTACTACCCTCACACATACACACACACGCACACATATCACATCACAGCCGCAGCCCTTGCAACCCCATTCCACCTTAACGAGCCATCAAAATGTGCAATAGGCTGTAAATAGGCAAATACATTTCACACACACACACACACAGAGAGAGCGAGTGTGTCTGTCCGTGTGTGTGTGTGTTTGTGTGTGTGCGGAGCTGATTTTGGGATTTTGGCTTGTGAGCTCACTTTGATATGAATTTTATAACTACATTTACGGTGACAGCATAAGCGAGAAAGGTAGCAGATAGAGAGCGAGAGAGAGAGAGGTGGGAGAGTGTGGGGGAGAGGGTGGTGACGGGCACTCCTTGTTCCCATTATGAATCGCCCGTATTATACTGACCAGACCATGTGCCATAAGCCGATATTCATATAATATAATTTAACTTGTCTGCATATTTTCTAACACATTTTCTTCTCTCTTTTCGCTCTTTTCGGTATCTTTGCAGGTGAGTTGAGTCCAGTGACGCCCACTTAATGCACGCCCCTTACAGCAACACCTGCTGCTGGCTTTTTGTGAGTACAGCATTCAAGTTAATTAAAAGCAAATGCTTAACTTGGCCAAAGTACACACACACACACATACAGCAGAGATTTGGCCACAGAATTTCGAGATTTTAGCTTGATGCAAGTGTGTTTGAGTCTGTGTGTGTGGTGTGTGTGTGTGTGTGTGTGAGAGTGTCAGCTCTGCACTGTTGACATTATGCAAATTCTCTGGAATTTTTCCAACATAATTGGCTTTGTCCTGTAAACAGGACTTGAAAATTAAAGCCAGAGAACAGATACGAAAAGCTTAAACCTAAAAATATAAAGCAAATACCAGCCATAAATAATAATAGAAATAAGAAAAAAAAAAAAATCGAAATGCAAATTCAATAAAAATCTGATAACAATAATTTGGTTTAAAAAATTTCTAAGTAATAATACAAATTATAAAAATAGTTATAAAATATAAATAACAAATAAATAAATGAGAGTTGCAAACATAAAGTATAAAATTATTAATAACAAAAATAATTTTTAGATAAAATAAGTGAAATTTGCATAAATAAATTTAAAAATACTTAAAAATATTTAGTTAATTATACAATATCATAAAAATATAATATGATTACAACATAATCATAGTAATCATAGTTTGCCAATATTTATCTGTTTATAATTCCATTGTTTACGCTCCATTTGCGAAAGCAACCGAAAAATATCATGCTCTCTCTCGCTCTTACCCCCAGCAACACACTTCGGTTCTTTTCGTTTTTCCTTTCTGTTGAGCGCCTTGAGTTGATCTATTCGTGTGACGTTCATTTAACGACCATTGGTCAGAAAGAGATAGTACAATTAACGTTCGCATACTAAGACTCTGTAGATGAGCAAGAGTCAAATAGTCAATGCGAATGCTCTCGCAGCTACACACACATGCAACCGTACTCAATTCACGTACGCATACATACAAATCATACACAAAAGTCTTTCTGCTGCACTCCAAGCGGACCAACCAGAGCGCAGTAAAACAACGAAAACAATAAACGATTGCTAGCCGATCGCAAACGAGCTTGTTGAAGAGCCGATGCAATTGGCTGCTCTCTGAGCGCTGTTAAATACACCGCGAATATCACTCAAGTGGGCCCTCCGAGCTCTCTCGCAGAGTGTGAGTGAAAGAGAAGGCATTGGTTAGCAGTCATTTGCTAGCTATGATAAAAATATGTAAATAAATAAGGAAATCCTCATTATGAATACTCATTTTAAATTGTTGTCTGCAGCTGTAGCAGAGTTTTATTACAAATACATATCAGGCTGAGCTCTTTATAGTTAAATAATTCGAGTAAAATGATTACCGCGAAAGTTTACTCAACAAAAAGTCTGATTGCTATACACACATACATACATATGCATGTACATACATGTTTAATTGAATCGATAGCATTATCTGTCAGGATTTCTCTCTTCTCTTTTTATATATTTTTTATTTATATCAATGTATCAATATCAATTGAGTCGGGTTGCTTTGATATGGAGCAGGAGTAGCAGCAACGCCAGCAGGAGCAGCAGCAGGAGTTGGAGCTGGAGAGTCAGTTTAATCGTTGCATGTTTATAACTCAATTTCCTTGGCAACGCGTTGCTGTTGCCGGTTGGTTGGCGAAATTTGATTGATTTATCTGGCCTCTCGTCTTTTTCATGGGTCTTCTTAATTAAGTTTGACTTCGTTTCACTTCTCTACCGACTGTTTTAATATTTATTTGCATTCGCTTTTCAGTCTGCTGACAACTTCATTTCCTTTTGCCTTTGGTATTTATTCCTTGAACTTAATTGCAAGCATTTCACTTGCCCACTACCTCACTCCACCTCTCCACCTCTCGCCCTCCCTCTCTCCCTCTCTTTCTCTGTTGCTGACTCCATCTGCTCTATTATTCTCTTTGGCTCTCTCGCTACTCGTTGCAGATGCAGCAACCTGCTCTTGCAACTGTTTAAATATTTATTTACAGCCAATTCTCGGCCTCTTATGATGCGCTGTGGTATTTAAATCGCGCATTTCACAATTGCATCCTCTCGTTGCTCTTTGGCTTTTCTTTCTCGTCACTTGTTGCTCCTTTAGCGTAGTTCTATTGGCGCGTGACACAAGTGGGTAATGAGTAATGACTAATGAGACTATCTCGCGGCTGTTAATAGCTAGCACTCGTTATTTTTCAAAGTCTCGCTCGTGCTTTGCATTTATCTGGTGATAGTTGCTCGTTATTCTCTCTTCACATTAACAATGCTTCGCATTATTCGCTCTACTCGTTGTTGAGTAGATGAAGGCATTATTATAGCCCGTTATTCCCTCTTTTTACTCGGTCTACTCTCTCTTTCTCGTTATTCATGACTCGATCTATATGTCATTTACTCTCTACACGTTCACCTCGCTGCTTGCCTTATTCGATGCTCCATTTACTCGTTACTCTCTCTGTTCGTTACACTTCGCTACTCGTTACTCCCTCTACTCGTTACTCTCTCTATTTGATACTCATTCTACTCGGTACTCACTCTACTCGTTACTCCCCCTACTCGTTATTTACCGATATTTGTTACTCACTTTATTTGTTCCTCCCTCTTCTCGTTCCGCCCTCTACTCCTTACTCACTCTACTCGGTACTCACCCTACTCGTTACTCCCTCTGTTCGTTGCTCCCTCTACTCGTTACTCTTCGCTACTCGTTGCACCCTCTACTCGTTACTTTCTCTATTTGATACTCTTCTCCTTACTCACTCTATTTGGTACTCACTCTACTCGTTACTCCCTCTACTCGTTACTTACCGCTACTTGTTACTCTCTCTACTCATGACTCCTGTTACTCGTTACTCACTCTATTCCTTACTCCCTCTACTCGTTACTTCCTCTACTCGTTACTCCTTCTACTCGTTTCTTTTCGCTACTCGTTACTCCCTCTATTCGCTATTCGCCACTTGGTCTTATCTTTGATTGTTTTGCTTTTCTTTATGTGTTTGTTAAACTGTACTTAGCACTCAATGGCTGTTGTCTATGCATTACTGTCCCAGGCGGCTTCTGTCAGGATTTTAACATTTCCATTTGTGCATTTTACGGCTCACACGCACGCACACACTCGCACACTCACACACACACACAGATTTATTTGTATATTAAGCGCTGGGAGCAATTGCAGCGCCATTAAAACTGACACATTGCAATTTCATTTCACTGGGGCTATCAAATAATTCCGCCAAGACTCAAAAAATTCGCACACACATACACACAGAGATATCGAGTTACACGCTCACACGCACAATAAGATAGAAGAGAGAGAGAGGGAGACATTCATATAAATAAAAACCACAGTGAGGACTTTTTACGCATCGTTAATTTTTCCCCGTAGACGCATCTCGGCGCTCAGCGACAATTCTGTGCTTCTGCCACGCCCCGACCGCCCCCGCTATGCCCAGCCATTGCCTGTCACTATCTGTTCCATCGTCTCCACTCGCATTTGCTCTGTCTCTCGCGCTGCCCCTCTGTCTCTTGCTCTGTCGCTCATTCAGTTTGTCACTCTTTCACTCAATCAGCCATTGGCGCTGTCTGCCATTATAATGATGTCTGCCTGTTAGGCCTTTACATTTTACTTTGACATCAGCACCAACAGCGCAAGCAACCACCGCAGCAGCGGCTGCTGCTGTGATTTACTTACTGTCGCACCATCCAACCACCCAACCACCTCGCTCCCCCTCGCTCCCTCTCTCTCCCTCTCGTTCTCTTTGTGGCTCTGCCTATCTTGCTGGGTGTAAATTTAAATGTTGCACAAATATGAAAAGCAATTTACATAATATCCTGCCAAGTGTAAAATGATTGTCAATGCTGTCTGCCCGATGTAGGGCCTGTGTAGCTGCCCCTCCCATGCGCCGCCTGCTCGTCGCCACAGCGGGCCAAGCGAACCACAGAGCCACAAGGCTCCGGCGCTGACTCTGGGGAGTCGGTAAACTTGAATCGTTGGCCATAGTCCATATATAGCAGATAAAGTAGAGCCTAGAAATTGAGTCGATGACTGACTATTTATCGATGCTTATCGATAACTGGTAATGGTAGTGTTTAGCTAACGATTACTTACTTTATTGATTGATAGCTTGAGTCTTTTATTCGGGGTACTTATATATCGATTATCGCAGCTTGCTAGAGCCATATCGATAACTCACTCTAATCAAAGATCAATTCATAACATTTATTTTGGACTTTATTCCCTTTGATCGATATTGTATTAG